GTGCCCTGGCGTGGCGGGGAGGTGGCCGTGCCCTGGCGTGGCGAGGAGGTGGCCGTGCCCTGGCGTGGCGGGGAGGTAGCTCTGCCCTGGCGTGGCGAGGAGGTGGCTGTGCCCTGGCGTGACGAGGAGGTGGCTCTGCCCTGGCGTGGCGAGGAGGTGGCTCTGCCCTGGCGTGGGCGGGCGCCACACGCGGTGCGCCGCGACAGGCAGCGCGGGCACCGGCTGGACGACGCGACGGCCGTGGCAGCCGCCCAGCCCTGGCTGCCCGGGGAGCTGCATCTGCAGCCGTGAAGCCCTGTTGTCCCTGCACCGGGCACGGTTCCCTCACATTAACCAAGAGAGGAAATGACCTTCTAGCAGATCACTAGCTCACCTGCTCAAAAACACTGCCTTTGAAAATGAGGAGGAAGATAAGTTGTATTCCAACAACAGCTCTGTTTTGCTTTGCAAAGATATTAAGCCCTTTAAGATAAAATAATCTTTGTAAATTTTTTTTTTTTCTGATAGGCTCAGTTTAAAAATGTTAATTCAGTGTTTTTCTTTTCCTATTTACTTCCATACAGAGTCAGGTAGAATTTGTTTTCAAAACGTAATTTTATGTTGTTCCATTATCTTCCCTTCAAATTGAAAGCTGCTTTACTGGGCAGACAGAAAAGTTGCTTTATGGGTATCACAGCCGTGCAGCAGCGAGCGGCACAGGAGCTCCGGAGCCCAGCATGGGCTCTGCTGCACATGGACAGTGTCGCTAGCACCGGGTACAAGCGGGCTCCGGCTTCACAGGGGGACTGGGGAAAATGCAGAGGTTTTAGCCCAGGGAAACACTCCCGGAGCGCTCCCAAGCCCCCGGCGCCTCAGCCAGTGGCACAGACGGCAGCTGGGCCGACGGGAGCGGGCAGCGTCACAGAACCCAGGAATTCGGTAGTGCTGCTAGTGCGGAATCACGGCTTCCCTGCAAAAGGGCTTCCCCACATGCAAGGAATTTGGGGAAGAACCTAAGATTTCACATCCCTTCTGTATTTTGAAAATGTAAAAGATGTTCAGTTTTTAACTTTTTTTGTTTTGTTCAGTTTTTAACTTTTTTTGTTTTAAAATTAAAGAAATATTCAAGTTTGAAAAGGATGATGTCCAAGCGAAATGTTGAACAATAATTGAAATGCTAAACCACTCCAAAGTAGGATGGGAATATTAGTTTCTTATTTTGTTAATTCTGTTGCTCATTCAAAATAAGACAGAAGGTATTCTGAAATGTTATCAAAAATATCAGTTATTTGCTAGCCATTTTAATGAAAACTTCCTCTGAAAATGGAAATTTTATTCTGGATGGCCACCAAAATCGGTTGAAGACCTGACTGTAAGAATAGTAATATTCATGAATTGGTTCAGCCATTTGGCTCAGGTGTGTTTTGCTGTCTTATTTTCCAAGAATTGGGCTGGCTGCCGATGCTGAGGGGTGTCTGATCACGGTGGTGCCCAGCTCTGTTTGGGTCTGGGTGTTATGTTGTCTTCACGCTGCTGCTGCAGTGATGGTAACATGCCCTGTGTGTGATTGTATTTTGTTCTCCTTATAGATGGAGGAGATTAAATTTAAAGACAGAGCAGTCTACGTGCTGGAGAGAGAGTTAGGGGTTCAAGCCGGGCATGCTCAGAGACTGCAGCTCCAAAAGGAGGCTTTAGATGAACAACTTTCCCAGATCAAAGAGTCTGACCGGCATCTGAGCAGCCCCAAGCGGGAACTTCCTTATGCAAGTGGTGCAGGAGACGCAGGAGAGCACTCGGGAAGCCCCGTAAGCACCTTCGCGTGGTTTGGGGCGAGGCGCCCGCGGACGGGGCGGCCGGCGGCACCGACCCAACGCGCCGCAGTGCTGATGGGATGAGCGCGCTCGCAGCGAGAGCTTGCCGTGGCCACGCGCCGAGCCCTGCAGCCGCCTCGCAGCCCGCGCTCTGCCATTTGAAACCAAACCTCACTATGGGAGAGCTTTTGCCTTTTCTTTCTTTTTTTTTTTTTTTGTTTTGTTTTGTTTCTTTGGTTTTGGTAGCAGGGTAAAATTTTCTTTTCTTTTATCTTTTTTTTTCTGTTTTTTTTCCCCAACTTAGCATACTTCAGCCTGCCTTGATTTGACCATTTGACACAATTTTTGCCAACAAATGATGCAAATGCTTTTCTATCCAAGTAATGTATGTGTGCTAGTTTTCAGAGGTGTTTTGTAAGTTGATGTCAAGAGCAGTTTGTGAAAGGGAGTCGGCAAAGGTAGAGTAACCAACGCATGAGCACTCAGTCCCCCCTGCCTCCCAGAACACATCTGCTAGCTCACGGTTTGTGCTGCTAAATTCTCTTGCTTCCAGTAGACCAGAAAGTGAAACAACTGTTAGCCTCTTGCTGCTCTTTCTTTTATACAAAGCAACACCCAGAACATTAAATTTTAGTCACCCTTTCACGCTGGCTTTTTAGTGCAACTATGCCACATTTCTGCTTTTGTCTTAATTTGCTAATATTAAAAGTATTTCAGTTAACCAACCTCGTATGTCTGGGACATATGCAAATTTTCTTCATTGCTGATTCTCATCAAGATTTCTTTTGTAAAATTTTAAAATTTTCTTAGTTGAAGTATAAGTAATATGTATATATATAGAAACGCAAAACAATCTATTTTTTGTTTCGTTCAAAGCCTCTCCTGCACCTGTTGAATGAGGAATCCTACACTTTCCAAAAGCTCCACTAGACTTGGACTGTGGTTATTAATTTACCTGTTCTGATTTGTACTTAAGTGCTACCGAATATCAGAATAAGAACTAGAAAAGGATAAAAAGTCTGTCACATTTTTAAATACATATAACTTCTCTCTGATTCTGAAGAAAATGAACCTGACTATATTTCTATTTGCTTATAATTTGATTTAAATGCTTTCACTTAGTTGGCTTAAAGTGTGACCTCGTTTGCTTTATGTGTGACCCTTTAGAAATCAATGAGGGCCACAACTTTATGGAATAAGAGCTTATGCGAAGGTCTAATTGCATGGATTTTACCCATTTGTGCTTCAGTATTTTGAGTATCATTTTCTTACAACAAAGTCCTCAGAGTTGGTGACTTGTCTGAAACACTCAGTTCAACAGTGGCATCCGTTGGAAGCATTGCCTTGATTTTGGATATTTTCTTTTGTGATGCCCAGTTTCCCATGTTTGTATTTGCATATACATACTTCTGCATTTGCATACTTTGTTACATCCCCACTCCTGGCTTTCCCTTGGTCTCATCGCGCAGCTCTCAGGGATCAGTGGTACTAGGGCATAGATTCCATGCTTCCCTACGATCATTTCGGAGTTTTGGGATTCAGGCTAAGAAAAAGTTTGAATTTTAAAAGATGTTGATACTTTCCTTACCTTTGTGAACAGTTATTTGCAGTTGATCCTTGTTTTAGGAACAGCAGTTGGATGAAAAAGATGCCCGGCGGTTCCAACTTAAAATTGCAGAGCTGAGCGCAATCATCAGGAAACTGGAAGATCGGAACGCACTGCTGTCAGAGGAGAGGAATGAACTGGTAGGTGCTGCACACGCGCGCTCTGTTACTGCTTGTGGAAATGGCGGGGTGCAGGTATGTCTTGCCACTGCCAACCTTAACGTATTTTGTCCTGTATTATGCGGAAATTGTCACAGGACATTCACACAGTCCCGTGGATATGGGATTCAGGAGAATTCAGCAATCTGCTGATATCCATTCACAGGGTTTCGCTCAGCAGCTCTATCACTCAAGCAGCAGGAAGGACATTATCCAGTCTGTTTTTAGGAAAAACACATGTATCCAAAAGGCTGAAAGTTAGAGTTTTGTGAACGGAGGAAGCGCCTGAGGGAATTCAGTGGAACTAGACTGAACTGACCCTCCGTGTGTGTGACATGCAGGGTGGTCGAGAAGGAATGCTTTTGGAGAGTCTGCTAGCTAGTGCTGAGCACAGCACCTTTGCAGAACCGAGCAGATCAGCACATTGGAGAGCTCCAGCTAGCCTGCATTTGAGAGGCTTGCTGGACCGGTGGGACGGTGCCATGAGCTGGCATGACTTGTAGCAAGTATTAAATGACCAAACTGCTAGGGAGGGAGGGAGGAAGGGAGGGATGGATGGATGGATGCGCAGCTGCTCTTTTTGTTCTATGTTTAGCCGTGTTACACAGTCTACCTTATATTTGCTTATTCTTTTAAGATGAAATTGTCTGGAATTCATTTATTTATAGATTTTTTTTATCAGTAAATATATTCCCCGAGTGGTGTGTTTTTCCCATAGATGACTGTGTGTCTCACAAAGCAGGAAATTCAGGTGTCCAGAGCTCGGGCAGGCTGGCCATAAGGCTGGCCAGCAAGGAAGGCAAGAGCAGTGCCAACAAATACAAGACCTCTACTTTGCAATAGGAGAACATACTGCTAGTCTGCTAGCTAAAGAAATAGTAATGTCCTTGGTAAATAAGACAGCTCTGGAGGTATTATTTTTTTCTTAATGTTTCAGTTAAAACGTCTTAGAGAAGCTGAAAGTCAATATAAGCCCCTCTTGGACAAAAATAAACGTCTCAGCAGGAAGAATGAAGATTTGTCACATGCCTTACGTCGAATGGAAAATAAATTAAAATATGTAACACAAGAAAATATAGCAATGGTAAGTGCTTGGACTGTCCCTGTAAGTTCTGGGGTGATAATGTAATTGTTTATAGGTGCACTATGAGCACAAACCCCAAACAACACAACAAACCCCACAAATTTGTGACTCGCAGTCCTTACTTCAAACTGACTACTGGTAGTGGCAGGAGCTGCTGGTGAAGTGGTGATGAAATCACCTGTCAGTGGGAGGCGCCACGTTTTGGGCAGTGCTGCACTCCCCACCGCGCAGTTTCCGCACGGCTGCAGGTGCAAATCAATGAGAGCAATCCCGGGAGCGGCCGCGGGGAGCCGTACAACTCTCGGCAGAAGCGGGGTGCAGTTGCACGCTGATAGAAGGGAGGTGCACTTGGACACTGATGCCAGCCCCTGCCCTCGACGGCGGCGCGTGCCAGCTCTGCGACCTGTTGTGTGGTTCGAGGAGCAGGAGCACTGCCCTTCCCTGTAATCTCAGTTTATCGCTTAGCGGAGGAGAGAGACAGATCAATCAGTACAGCAATTCAACTAGACAAATCACCAATTCTAAAAGGGCAGGATCATATGCTGTCCTTTGGCAATGACTTTTCATCATTTCCTTTTTTTTTTTTTTTTTTTTTTTTTTAATCTTTGGGTTTCTTTCAGAGGCAAAGAGCTGGGCCAATAAGGAGACCAAGCTCTTTAAATGACCTTGACCACAGCCAAGAAGAAAGAGAAGTCGAATCCCTGAGACTACAAGTTATTGAACAGCAAAATGTCATTGATGAACTCTTCAAGGTAAGATGGGAGTTCCCATTGCACTTTTCTTAGCTCATACTTTTCTTAGGAGAGGTTGACTAAGGTCATAGCAAAAGGCAGGGAAACCTAAGCAAGGGTTTGGAAAACAGCCTGGTGCAGTTGGCATTAGTGCGATAGGGCACTCCTCTCTATACTTAATAGTAATTGACCTGAGCTATTTGGAAAAATATCTGTTCGATCTGCGTTGTGTTTGCATGGTAGAAGTGTTGTACTGATTATAATAGATACACTGACAGCTAGATCATGCTCCCACGGAAGGAAATGTCAAAGCTCTTTGAGTGTCAGATAAATCAGGCCTGAAGGTAAAAGCTGTGTAAAAAGGGGAAGTTTTGTAGTGCTGTGGGGTGTTTTGCTTCTTTGATTTTGCTTTTTAAGATGCTCAGACTTTTAATAGAAAAAAAGTCTTTACTATTTTCCTCCTTCTCATTATTAGTAAGGTCAGGCCTAGATTTTGTTAGGAAACCACAGAATCCCAAGTGGCTTTCAAGGGCATCACCTGCCATGAGGACTCCTGAGCCCTGGACCATGGTGGCTTCAGCACAGAGCCACGTCCTGCGGGTAGCTGTGCCACCATGGGCAGAGCCTGGCGCCCACCCGCACGTGTGGGTGCGTCCCTGCCCCGTAGAGCTGCAAACCCTCCGGGCATTGCTGCCAGCTCCCGAACCGAACTGGATCTCTAAAATGTGCCTTGTCCTTTACACTCTGCTCAGCTGTAGGAAGGTGTCAGTGGGAACAGGAAAAATGTTCATCCCGGGAATACGTTGTCTCCATGATGATGCCCATCGAAGGTGCAGCACGGATTGCAGCACTGCCCTGCGTTCCCATATCTGCTCTTGCCCCCATGGGCTGTTGGCCATTGTGCCTGAAGCTTCAAGGAATGTTTTAATTTCTAAAGTCCGCAAACCCCATGCTTTAATGAGACAAGCTATTAGCTCCTGCCGCTGAGTTCTTGCTAAATAGAGTGCCAATCAGGTGACACTTCTTCACTAGGTCACTTCTGTTCACGCATCTTCTGTCACCCTCAACGAGGTGCTGCTAGCAGTATGTGTAGAGCTCTAGATATGAAGCACTTATTGGTTTGTTTCTTCATATAAGAAATGAAGAACATACATGAAAACCGCCAAACAATTAGCTTTTAGTGGCCAGACAGTCATATATCAGGTGGGGGAGGGCAAGAAAAAAAAGAAAAAAAAGGAAGAATGAAATCTGTATCTGAAATGATCGTGTTTTTTAAGACTACTTCAAGAAAATACTTTTAAAATATATATATTTGCACTTATAGACATTATCTTATTCCTTTTTTGTTAGACCCTGGAAACTGCTGGCTTTGTAAAGAGCGTCATAGTAAGTAAAGTATAAATTTAATTTCATATTCATCTTTAAAGCAGTGTTCATGGAGATCATGTAGATTGTAATAATGTTTATTGTTGCTTTCCTCTGTATTCAGAGAGCAGGTTAACGCTATGCAGATTTCTGTGAGAGGCCCTGTCAGCAGCAGTTAGATGTGTCTGACTGGATTTTTATGAGAGACCACCATGGGCACAGCCAGCAAGTGGGAGCAAGGAGCCCACGGTCTCCGAGGAGCAGGGGCTGCTTTTGGGGAACGTTGCGGCCATGCTAGAAATGTCTTCCTGTCTTCCCTTCTCTATCCCATACTTCTGAATCAGTGCCCTGCCCATCTTGTGAAGGGTCTTCTCTCTGCTCTTGTTGGTGAAGCATTTCCCAAGGTTAAGCCACCTTCTTGTGTACTGATAAAACGTGTGTTGTTTCTTTAGTGCTTAACTTGTCAGTGTGTTGCACTAATTACAGTCAGCTTTCTTTTGTCATCCTGATTTTCGTGTGGATCCCTGGGCAGTTGGCACTAGCCTGTTACAGGCTGAGATGTGCTTTGAGTGCGATCAGATTTGAGTGATGGAAGCAGATAGTTGGGCCAGCACTGACACTGGGGTTTTTTGATTATCTAGTGACTGCTAATCTGAACACAATGAATTTAAGTTATAGATACCCTAAAACAGCTAACATATCTAACTGATTCTTTCAGGAACGTGATAAGCTGTTAAGATTTAGGAAACAAAGGAGAAAAATGACAAGAATCCCCAAGGTAAAGCGAAATGCTCATTCAGATGAGCACAGTGTCTTGCCGAGCGAGCGGGTGGGTGGGTGAGCTCCTCCGAACCAAGCGAATGGGAAGCATCTACGCCCCAGCTTCGAGAGGCAGGAATGCTCGGGCTCCTCCCAGGGAACAGGGAGCCAATTCAGAGTCCATAGAGTGCACAGAACTAGAAATGACTTGAAGCTTTGGGCCATTGCTCTTTAAAGCTGGGTCGAGTTGTTCAAGGACATTCGTCCTATTAAATGTAATAGAGTGTACATTTAAAGTACATTCTGATACTTTAAATAGAGGGCTCAGCTTAGGGCAGTGGTGCAGCCAAGTCGCTGCCCCTCAACCATTTCCTCTGATGTGAGGCTTGGCACCAAGATATCTGTGAACGATATCTAATGCCCCTGCAATGGACAGAGAGATGGTTCCACGGGGCCTTTTTAGCACCTGCATGTCGTGCCTTTGCTGCAAACGCTTTCAGCTCCTCTGGGAAGTGCAATAGCCTCTTGCTTAAGGGAAGGCAGATTTTTTTTGAATTACCACATTGCTAAACCATCTTGTAATGGTACTGCTTGAAAAACATATAGGCTGTAAATAATTCATGTAGAAACTGTTGATTACACTCAGCAGCTACAGAGCAGTTAGAGCTCAGAGAAAAAGAAAATGTTAGTTAATGAATAATTGACAGAATGATAATATAAACATTAACATAGCAACAGCACTGTAAGGCGTAATGTAATGGAGAGGAGAGTAAGCTGGGTTCTGCTTATCAAGAATTAAATTGAAATCTATAAATAATGAATTATAGTTGGTGTGAAGTCAAATCCCTAATTCTTATTGTGTAGCAAAGGAGCACCAGAGAAATACTGAGTGGCCAGCGCTGTGTTCATGCACATGCGTGGAAACCAGGCTGCTGCATCAGAGTTAGTGCTTACTCCTCTGAAAATGACCCACCACCATTTAAAACAAAAATTCAAAATATAGAAATGTTTTGTAAATGCCCATTTTAAAAAAAATATTTTTAAAAAATATGCTCATAATGTCTTCTTTGACTTTCAAACATTTAAAAATAAACATTTCCTTATTGCCATTAACATTCTTTTGTATAGAAAGTAGCTTTGAGTGCAAAAAATGAATTTCTTTAAATAATAATATTATCACTGTAGTAAGTAATATCAACAAATTTTCAAATAGAACATTTCTTCAAAATCTAACTTTTCCAGTGAAAAATGTGATAATAACATAAAGGACATTATGGTAATGGGAATAGAATAAGGGAAAGTCATTTTAATGAAGAATTTCCTTCTCTCTCTAAGACAGGGGGAAGACGGGGAGAAGTGGGGAATAAAAACAGTAGAAAATGGATGATCTCCCTTAATTAAAGAAATAGGAAGGAAAATGCATAAATCAAAAACAACAAGAGCTTTGACCTGGTTTGGCACCACACTAGCTCATAGCGAATGCAAAAATGCAGCCATTTAAGTAGTTATAACAGAGCACCAGCATTGGTGGGAAAAAAACTTCACAACATAAATGGTGAGAACCGATTGTGTTTTTCTAAAAGCAGCACAGTGGAAAACAGCTGATGATTTGGACTACAGTGAATTCAGTTTTGCGCGGGAGTGTGTGCATATAATCACGTCCTGGACAGGCGGAGGTCAGGAGAGTTTCCAGGGTTTCCAGATCACTATTTCCCTCTGCAATGTGCAGACCAGTTCACGTGAATATGCTGTAGCTGCTTTGCATGCTTGAGCTGCTCTCACACGGTGTCGTTTGATCGCAAGCCCGTGGTGGAGACGTTCTATGGCTACGACGAAGAAGCTTCCTTGGAGTCTGATGGTTCTTCCATCTCGTATCACACTGACCGAACAGACCAGACCCCTTGCACCCCTGATGATGACTTGGAAGAGGTATTCACTGAACATACTGATAATATTTAAGTAATTCTCTGTGTGTTTAAGCTCTGAATTATTAATAATATTTCTGATTTATTATATCATTCCTCTGGCACCTCTGATTGGAAAAATAAAAATGAGTATTAAATTTAGTAATGGGAATGTTGGTTAATGTTCTACGCCTCAAGTCTTTAGCTGTGATTTCTGATCTGCCATTTCATCTGTTTCATGGATTGTAATTAGATTTGTTAAAAAGGAATTCTAAAGAATTCCTTTATCTATCATGAAGATACATGAGTTGATACTACATGTGCTGCACAACGTGAAATGGGAATTTATTTTTATATGTATAAATTTATTTATTTTTCATTACTGTATTGAAATCCCTTTTTTTTCCCCCCGTTCAGATAGCATGAAGTTCATGTGTGCATCCAGCAGTGTCATTTCCTTTTATATTGAATGAAATATTCCAGTCAACATCACATGGAAGCATTGATTTTGGATATTGGGAGGAGAGTAAAGAGATGAAGGGTCCTTTGCATGTTGATGTCACCATTCCTACAAGTATTAACTCTAGATTAGTGTTTTGATAATTTAGCAGGATGATTTGGCTTGGCCTTTTTCACAGATTGGAAAATTTTCTTGTTTCAACAAATTAGCTTTTTCCCCCTTGAATGTGATGACTGTGCAGTAGTAGAGGGGTTCTCAGCAGTTATTACCAGATGGGAGTTTTGTGTCTTCCTGAGGGAAAAAAAACTTTCCCTTTTTTATTTTGCATTTCAGTGAGGTAGGTGCCTGACAAGAAAGAATTGATGTCAGAGCACTTGAGAAAGATCTGTATTGGGCCTGGGGAATTGTATTTTAAGAGTAATGTTAATTTTTGCACTTTTTATATAAAACAGAGACTATTAATTCTTGTGGCTTCTTTACTTTCACTGCAGGAAAAAAACAGCTGATACAATCAATATTTGCTTTTAACATTTCTAGGGAATGGCCAAGGAAGAAACAGAGCTGAGATTTCGGCAGCTGACAATGGAATACCAGGCTTTGCAGCGAGCGTATGCGCTATTGCAAGAACAGGTTGGAGGAACATTGGATGCAGAACGAGAAGTTAAGGTCTAAATGGCTTATATTACATGAAAATAAAGAATTGTAATTGTATATACTTTTTTTAATTTTACTTGCTCAGGTTGTTTACACATTCTTTAAAACTGCAATTCTTGCCAGTGTGCTCTGCTATCTCTAGAATTAGCTCTGTGTCCTGTCTCCTGAAGGACCTTTTATAAGAAACTCTTAAACCATACTCTCTCTATATATATAAAAATCCAATATGTCTAGCCTTAGCTTATATAAAGCATGGCATTTAATCCTTCAGGATTCTGTGAGTTTACATGATTCCTTCTAAAATGTTTAGAAAGTTTATAGTTTAAAGAGATCCATTTTCTTAATCTGATTACAGAGTCCTGTGTGCCTCAGAGCTCATGTAACTTCAGCCATATATGGTGGCAATTTATTACCTAGAATAAAACATTGCATTTATTACAAATAAGTTGTGTGTATTATAGGGAGTCAGGAGGTCTCAGTGTAGCATTTAACTGCTTGGGGCAAAGAAAGTGATGCTAAATATAATAAATTAAGGGGAAAGTTCTGTTTTGAGCAAACAGACAGAAGTCTAAGAGGAGAAGAGAATCTGGGTCTGATTTGGCTCTACAACTATTTTGTAGATAAGCTGACCAGGAATGCTAAGTGTGGAGGTAGATAAAGATGGCAAGGTGAGGAGATGCTCACATGATCCAGCCTGGGCCACCTGACAGCTTCCTTTATTTCACTTTATAGTCAATAAGGAGAAATAAATCTGCTTGGAGACCCAGTTTGAAATGGCTCCTCGCACGGAGAGGTTCAGAATGTGCCTCCCCATCGGCTGCAGCTGCCGCACGCCCCAAGGAGCAGTGTCACATCCACGATAGGAGTATACTAGGGAGAACTAATAAGAAAAAACTGTTTCTTCCCGAGACTTTTTAGTTAATCAGCAATGTCTATATGCCAGGTAAAGTCATCTGTGCTCACCAGACTCACTGTGCTCGGAAGACACTTTATCAAAGCTGAAGCTGAAGACAAAGAATTTTCATTGCTACTTAGCTGAGATTTTTGAGCTGTTATGAAAGAAACAGAAGACTTGGAGACATTTTTGTTGTTTGTTGCAGCCTTCAAATTTCTCTGTTCTCCAGAAGTCTTTTGTACAGAAAGTTTATAGATCATCCTAACATAGCTGGGGTGCCACTATGAGTAAAGAAAGTGTTCCATAAAACCATATTTAGTAGATAGAATACTTAATAATAATTACAGTTATTGTCCAGAAAACAAGGAAAAGCTGCTAAAGGAAGACTCTTATATTCAACTACAAGAAGCAGTTCATCTTTTGCTATCCTAATATCTACTAAATAGGATGCTGCTCATTTAAATCTTAAAATTACACCATTTATACACTTCTTTTTGTGACTGACTGATACTGTGCTTAGTTGCAAATTAACTCTCCCAAAAGTCTTTAAAAATCATTTGCTTTAAGTATTGGATACGCATAAAATATTGTCTGCATTTCTGTATTAGCCTTTGGAGTTTAGAAAAAGTTGATGTATTTTTTTCTCCTCTCCTACAGACACGTGAGCAGCTCCAAGCAGAAATACAGAGATCTCAGGCTCAGATAGAAGACCTCGAGAAGGCACTTGCGGAGCAGGGACAGGTACTGCATGCTGGCAGCCTGCTGTTCCTTTCCCCAGTCTTGTGCTGAAAATGGCCATAGTGTGGGGATTTGTTTCTAAAAAATGTACCCTTAGAATCATAGAATCATAGAATGCCGAAGGTTGGAAGGGACCTCAGAGGTCACCTAGTCCAACCCCCCTGCTCACGCAGGGTCACCCAGAGCACGTGGCACAGGGCTGCATCCAAGCGGGTTTTAAAGATCTCCAAAGAAGGAGACTCCACAACCTCTCTGGGCAGCCTGTTCCAGTGCTCCGTCACCCTCACAGTGAAGAAATGCTTCCTTAAGTTCCTGTGGAACTTCCGATGCTTCAGTTTGAAGCCATTTCCTCTAGTCCTATCCCTGCTCACCACTGAAAAGAGGCCGCCCCCCTCCTCCTCACTGCCTCCCTTGAGGTATTTATACACGCTGATCAGGTCCCCCCTCAGCCTCCTCTTCTCCAGGCTGAACAGACCCAGCTCTCTCAGCCTCTGCTCATAGGGCAGATGTTCCAGGCCCCTGATCATCCTCATAGCCCTGCGCTGGACTCTCTCCAGCAGCTCCACATCCCTCTTGTACTGGGGAGCCCAGAACTGGACGCAGTACTCCAGATGTGGCCTCACCAGGGCTGAGTAGAGGGGGATGATCACTTCCCTCGACCTGCTGGAGACGCTCTTCTTAATGCACCCCAGGATAACATTGAAGATCATAGTGGTAGTTAAGTGTTTATACATGTGCAGAATGATTTTGAGGCTAGCTTTAGATAGCTGTTTCATTGCCAATTGCAAAACACACCTACAAAAGCAGTATTTGTATATGGGAAAGCTGCTGTTTATACTGGAGATTGGTGAACTACCCTTGCAGAACGACAAAACCACAGGATAGCTTAGGATAGCAGGGTTCTCTGGAGATCAGCTAGGTCCAGTTTAATCAGGCTCCTCTGGAGCAGGTCGCTCAGGGACATGTCTAGTCGTGACTTGAATACCTCCAGGGATGGCAACTGCATAACCTCTCTAGGCAGCCTGCTCAGTGATCACTCAGCCTCACAATAAATAAGTATTTTCTTATGTTAAGATGGAATTTCACGTGCTTCAGTTTCTGCCTCTTGTCTCTTTTCCTGTCCCTGGGCACCACTGAGAAGAGTCTGGCCCCATCTTCTTTGCTTTCCCCCTTTAGATATTTGTCCATAGTGGTGAGATCCTCCTGAGCCTTCTCTTCTCCAGGCTGAATGGTCCCAGCTCTCTCAGCATCTCTTTGTATGAGAGATGCTGTAGTCCCTTACTCAGCCTTGAGGCCCTTCACTGGGCTTGATCCCTGTCCATCCTGTCCTAGGAGCCCAGCACAGAACTGCACGTGTGCCACTGAGTTTCCCTGCACAACCGGAGAGGAACTGAGCTTGCAGACACGTTCCCCATCACTGCTTCAAGTAGGTGCAGAGCAGAGGTTCTCCCACATCCCTTAGTCTCCGCCTGGAGCTCTCACTTGGGCTAAGGAATCGACACATTCTGCTTGAGTGAAAAGTGACTGAAGTCTTTAGTAGAGAAGCCCGAGAGGAGAAGGAGGCATGATGGACATGTGCTGCATATTGATCAACGAGGTTGCGAGCACACATCTATTTTTAGAACTGTATGATTTTGTTTTAAAATATACAGCGAAGTGAGCACATAACTGAGCACATAAGCTCAGCTTGCTTTCCTGCACTTAACAAATCCACGGCCTCTGCTCAAATAATCAATTAATGTATCTGCGTCTCCTAATTGCCAATAGCTTGAATTGCCCTCTGCTCTCTTGCTGTGTCCCTCCCGAACACGCAGTCAGTGTTCACCCCAGCAGATCTGATGTGCGGATGTGCTTGGGGCTTGCTTTGAGAAGGCAGTATGGAATTACTGTGCTGAGTGATTTTAACTTAGTCATTGGCTGCAGGAGATCTGGTTTTGTGCCACCACCGTGTTTCAAGTCGAGCTCAGTAGTTTCTCTGCTTGCTGAACCTTGAGATTGGATTGTGCCCAGCGGGTCCCAGCACCAGGCACGTGCCCGTGCAGCTCGGAGGTTGCTGCTCACCGCCTCTCCCAGCCAGCACTGCGTTCCTGGCTTGCTGCCTGCCATTTGCATTCCCTTTGACAGCAGGTCAAAATATTTGCCAGTCGCATATGTTTCCATGTAGCTGCTATTATAAAACTCCGCGTTGCAATGTTGCCCAAACACAAGTTTCTTCCTGGGAGGTTTCCTTAGTGGTGCACCGAGCTGGCTGGCTCAGGGTCCTCCAGCAGCTCCGTGGCTCTCCCAGTGTGGGAGGTGCTGCAGCTTCGCACACTGCAAATATTCCTTCTCCAAGGTGAAAATTCAAGAAATATTGCCAGCCTGCTTCTAGCTCTTCCAGTCTAAAGAATGAAACATAATTTTTAAAAATTATTTTAATATAATGCTAAATCATTTATCATTAGCTCTCCAGCTTAGCCTCTTATTGCTGATAATCTTCCTGATAAACTTCCAGCTGTTTTGGGTCGATTTTAGTATCCAGCACGATAAGTAATTCATTTTAAAACAAGGTTTATAATGTTATTTTTTTCAGTATAATTGAAATTCAGTAGTACCTGGGTTCAGTAACTGAATAGCTAGAAACATCGCTGTTAAGGGATGTTCTTTTTGAGCTGAAAGATTTTTAATCATCAGAGTGCTTATATTGCACCTATGTACTGCAAACTTCATTCAGATTGTAGAGTCAAGCTTTCATTTGATAGGATATAGTGAAATTACAGTTTCTTATGCAATGCTACTCTGTCTTCTCTGTGCAAATGATCACATGAAACATTTGCTCTGTGCTTATGTTATGTATTGCCAGCTTTAACTATAATATTGATTTGTTTTTCAAGGACATGAAGTGGATTGAGGAGAAGCAAGCATTGTACAGAAGAAATCAAGAACTTGTAGAGAAGGTGCTCAGTGTTTCTGTCTGTATTACTGAAACAGTGTTTGTAGTTTAAGGCATTTAGCAAGGTGTATATTTGAAGTGTTAACCTATTTCACACAGCCCTGTTGCAAGCAATTCGCCTGGGATAAGTAGCTCTTTGTAAATCACCAGAGCTGCTGAGGCGCCCACTGCATCACGGGGAGAAAGGGCTCTGAGGGGCAGGTCGCCAGCTCCCCACGTGCCCGCGGCCCCAAGCTGGGCTGCATCTGAGGTAATACCTTGCTCAGGAAGCCAGTCTCAAATAGCATGGAAAGCTGGCTCGAGACAGCATGCAGGACGAGCAGCCCTGGCCAGAGCCTGGCCTGCCTGCGTGCCTGGGGCACAGAGCTGCTGTGGGACGGGGACCCAGGCCAAGCACAGAGTCCAGCGGCGCTTCAGGAGCCTGCGAGGGGCAGGGTGTCCCCTGCTGCGGGCTGAGTCTCTGCCCAGCGGCCACCTGGCTCGTCGCCAGTGGAACTGTGAAAAAGGTGCTAACCCATACTGCTTCGTTTTGCAGATAAAACAAATGGAAGCAGAGGAAGCTCGATTAAAGCATGATGTTCAGGATGCCAAAGATCAGAATGAGCTCCTGGAGTTCAGAATATTAGAGCTTGAAGTAAGCAAATGCTAACAACTCCTGTGCTTTTTACCTGCTCTGTGAATCTATTACCAGAAGGCAACAAGGATATTGGAATTCCTCAAGGTTTATTCCAAAGATCAGTGTTTCACTGAACCTTGCCAAAGTGTTTGGTACAAAGCGAAGGCAAAATAGAAAAAGCAGGGATCCATACGGGCATCCTGACAGGCTCTTATAGTGCTTTACTACATAAGCAGTTTTCAGATGCAGAAGATTGCTTCAGGATACAGATGCACTTTTGCTCTATTCAATCTGTTCTACGGAGCATATCAAAAATAACCATCAGCTTTTCATTTTCTTTGCCAAAATCTTACTAAACCTGCAGAGAAGGAATCATGTGGCCTAGACTGCTCTGTTTACTCCACTAAGGCTTCCGTTTTCTGTACTGTTAATTACATAAACAGAATCTGAAAGCCCTTGGAAACTCCATTTTCCATGTATTTTAGAGAGAAACTAACAAGACAGCCACTTGCCCAGGGAATATAAATGCTGACAGGTGTAAGTACATCGTGTCCGTGCAGGCGCATGTGGTAAATGGCTCAGCAGCCGTGGCTGGTGCCGGGGAGGCTGGTGCCTCTCTTTGGGTGCCCACTGCGCGCGGGAGGCCGTCCCTGCCGGACTGAGCCCCGTGCAGCAGCCGTGGGCCAGGAACACGGCCCGTGCCACGCCGGGCACACGGACACGGCCCCCTGTGCTCCCCGCACGCAACAACCAACCTGGGGACGTTTCCTTCACATTGGTGCAGAGCTGACAGTTCTCGGATAGTGTGTATCTGGTTCATCACAAAGTTGAAATATGCAAAGCACAGTGGTGAGTAACCACACACTGTTATTTTGATTTCAGGAGAGAGAAAGGAGATCTCCTGCTATCAACTTCCATCACATTCCTTTTAAGGAGGGGAAAAGCCCCCTGCAAGTGTACTGCGAGGCTGAAGGCGTTACAGTAAGGGATCTCATTTCCTATTTCTTTTTGCCAAAAAAAATTAAGCTATCTGTTCAAACTCCTGGTTTTCTCTCTTCTTAGGATATAGAAGTAGCAGAGCTGATGAAAAAATTGGACATTTTAGGGGATAACGCCGTAAGTGTATGTTCCTTTAATAAATTGTGCATGCTTTGATAAATTCTTGTCTGTATGCCAGCGTGGCACAGCACTCTTGGCTTTCCGTTGCACAACCTGTCTTCGCTGTGAGCAAAGGATGGGCTACAAGCTAAGTGTTTTGCAGCTTTTTAAGGTTTTTGTTGATAGATGTGTCAGATGTGTCAGAATACCTTAATGTTATAAAAATACTTTTAAACTGTTAATAGTATGAGAAAAAAAAAACACTTTTTTTTTTCCTAGCCACTGCTCCTATAGATCTGCTTATTTGCCTGCTCTGCGTTTGCTTTGCTTCTGAATTTCATCAGCTGTGCATTTTAATTTTGACTATCACTGTGAATCTTAGATAATAATGAGGGCATTAAACAGAAGGAGTTACAACAAAGCAATGAAAGGAAAAACAATTAATAATTGTTTTCCCTCTACCATTTTGAAATTACATAAATACATGCATTAAGTATGTAAAATCCTATGTTTATGCATATGTACATCCATATATTCTGCACTTTGTGCACAAGGTCTCTTGTGCTCTGCTCCACAGCGTCAGGCCAGGAGCTCACAGGGGGTTTGAACTAAAGTGCAATGATTACTGCAGCGGTTAATAATATTCACACTGACGTAAATAAAAGTAATTCTGAAATCCTTTGCCAGTGAAGCCTCCACTTCCTTTATTGAATTCCCCCCAGTATTTGTTGAGTACTCCCCAATAGAGTAATTCTTGCAAAAAGGAGGACAGCACATGAACAAAAAAAAAATTGTGTCATAATGGATGTCCAAATACTCTTGTCCAAAAGGCAGAACTTCATTAAAAACAGCTGTTGTAATCCTTGTGTGCCAGCATCAGGCTTTAAGACCTTGGCTCGCTACAGTGTCGTCTTCATGTCTTTCAAGTGGGACTTTGGTCTGGGATGAGAGGCCTTGCAATCTGTAACTGTTCCATGGCCCAACAGAGCTGCCTGGGAGGTAACACAGTTTGTAGCAGAGACCCATAGTGTTGGCACCCTTGATAAAAGCAAGGTGGTGCAGCAGCCAAAGCGGCCCCTTTGGAGCCCGCTTGACAAAGCGAGTGGCATAGAGAAAACCCACCACGTGGGTTCCCAGGGCATTGCCAGGGCATTGCCAGTCAACTGGTAACTCTCTTTTAGTCCCTGGTTCTCAAATGTTATTTTAATAATTGAAGACTGTCAGCAATAGCCAACCAATTCATGATTTCCATATTTTAATTAAAAAACAAAAACAAAAACCTCTCATTTTAGTGAATTTTCCAAAATCATGCTTTTTGGCATTGCAGGATAAGGATTGTGTGTAAAAAAACCACAGAAATCGTATGGTTGCATGTCTTTACTGAGTAGCACCCAGCCAAGCCTGATCTTGTTTTGTACTTGTGGGTTCCTTCCCTGCTGGAGGAAGAGAAGATCCAGTGTCAACACTGTTTTCTTTTGTAGATATCGAAGTTTTAAAATAATTAGTTATGTGTTGATCACAATTCAATGTTAACAGTTACAGATGGTTTTACAACAGCTTTGCATCAACATACTAATTTTATTTACTTTGATTTGTTGTTCCTCAAGCATCTTTAATTCATATTTATTTAATGCAATAGAGCCCAAGTAGTGGACTGATAATGAGACGCTGGGATTTGTTTTAATTGTATTCTGCTTTTGGTGCAGAATCTGACCAACGAAGAGCAAGTAGTTGTCATACAGGCAAGGACAGTTCTCACATTGGCTGAAAAGGTAAGAACAATTGCATCACCTATACATTTACTTATGCTATAAAAGCATATGGCTTTGTCAGGGTAGTCTATTTGAAAAAGCCTGTAATAGAAATAGTTTCTGCACAGAATGCCACGATTCCTTGTGTGGAATTTGACTTGCACTAGTTTTTCTCAAAGTGAACATCTCATTCAGGCTGACATTGTTTATTTTAAAATGTTGTTTACCTAGCAAATTTTTAAAACATTAGTATGGGTAGGTTTTGAAATAATGCTTATGAATTGGTGTACACATTTTTGTAATACATTTTTTTCTCTTTTGTTTATTGCATTAAAATGACTAGCTGAGATATGTAATGGCATCTCCTAGCGTGGTAGGGAAGGCTGAGCACGGGTTTGGCTGCTCCGAGACGTTTGGCTTAGGCAGTCGGTGTCCCCCCAGTGTGTTCATCTGGCACTGTCTGTTTTCATCTGCAGTGGCTGCAGCAGATCGAACTGACTGAGTCTGCACTGCAACAGAAGATGCTGGATCTTGAGAACGAAAAGGTACTGAGCAATGGCAGGAAGGCAGAGGGATGGCAGGCAACAAAAAGAACAGCTATTTTCCTGCCATGGTCACTGCCCTAACTTCATCTCTGTGTCTGTAGGAGCTGTTCAGCAAGCAAAAGGGTTACCTGGATGATGAGCTTGACTTCAGGAAACAGTCCTTGGATCAAGCTCACAAGGTGAGAAAAATCAGTATGAGGGGGCTCGACACTCCTTAGGCTATAATGGACTTTGCAGCCCTGCTCAGTTGCTGAGCTGTGGGCATCGATTTGTTTTAAAGGAATTCCCTCCTCTTATTACAACCAACAGATTACCACCACCTGTAACTGTAGGATTTGTATAATTTTCACATTTTTCTATAAAAAATATTTGGCTAGCACAGTGGCTACTAGTGCAATTGCTTTAACAACAGTGAATCTCCCTATTCCTTTTTTTTCTCCTTAAAAAGTCAGTATAATTAGAGAGGTATAACAATCATATAGCCAAGGCTAGGAGCCCAACAGTAACATGTTCAAATAATGTCATTGTGTAAGGGCAGTTAAGTTCAGCGAGAATGCTGGCATTATTTGAAAGGTGAATGCAGAATCTTCTTTTAAACGTATGCCTGGGAGGGGCAGACCATTCACTGTAGTTCCATCTCTCACCGCTGCAGAGACAACACAGTTACTGTCTTTCAAGAAGCAGCACTATCTGTAAGTCCTGATGCCCTGTTTTATTATTCTCACAAATTCAGCACTCTTTCCCTGAGCTTGCTAAGCCTGTTAGTTATAAAACCAGCAACCTCAGATGCAGAAAAATGTTGATACTAATTTTGAATTCAGCCAAATTATCATAAAAGTCATCTGTGGCCTTTGCATTCAGTCTGTCTAGAGGCTCAGGCATAATACTGCAATACCTCTGCAGTCACAGAGAGCTCCGAGACACGTTACCATCCTTGGAAGGGACATGCTTGAGGAAATCCTGCTTGACTAACCTGATCACCTTCTACGAAGGAATATCTAGCTGGATAGATGAGGGCAGAGCGGTAGATGTGGTCTATCTGGATTTGAGCAAGGCTTTTGACACTGTCCCTCACAGCATCCTCCTGGGCAAGCTCCAAAGGTGTGGGATAGATGAGTGGACGGGGAGGTGGATTAGGAATTGGCTCGATGGCAGGGTGCAGAGAGTGGTTGTCAATGGTGCGGAGTCCAGCTGGAGGCCTGTACTTAGTGGTGTCCCCCAGGGGTCAGTTCTCGGTCCGGTCTTGCTCAACTTATTCATGAACGACCTGGATGAAGGGCTGGAGTGCTCCCTCAGCAAGTTTGCCGACGATACCAAACTGGGTGGAGTAGCTGATAGCCCTGAGGGCTGTGCTGCCATCCAGAGGGACCTGGACAGACTGGAGGACTGGGCGGCGAGAAACCTCATGAGGTTCAACAGGGGCAAGTGCAGGGTCCTGCACTTGGGGAGGAATAACCCTGGACACCAGTACAGATTAGGGGTGGACCTGCTGGAGAGCAGCCCCGCAGAGAGGGACCTGGGTGTCATGGTGGACGACAAGTTGACCATGAGGCAGCAGTGTGCCCTGGTGGCCAAGAAGGCCAACGGGATCCTGGGGTGCATTAAGAAGAGCGTCTCCAGCAGGTCGAGGGAAGTGATCATCCCCCTCTACTCAGCCCTGGTGAGGCCACATCTGGAGTACTGCGTCCAGTTCTGGGCTCCCCAGTACAAGAGGGATGTGGAGCTGCTGGAGAGAGTCCAGCGCAGGGCTAYGAGGATGATCAGGGGCCCGGAACATCTGCCATATGAGCAAAGGCTGAGAGAGCTGGGTCTGTTCAGCCTGGAGAAGAGGAGGCTGAGGGGGGACCTGATCAGCGTGTATAAATACCTCAAGGGAGGCAGTGAGGAGGAGGGGGGCGGCCTCTTTTCAGTGGTGGGCAGGGATAGGACTAGAGGAAATGGCTTCAAACTGAAGCATCGGAAGTTCCACAGGAACTTAAGGAAGCATTTCTTCACTGTGAGGGTGACAAAGCACTGGAACAGGCTGCCCAGAGAGGTTGTGGAGTCTCCTTCTTTGGAGATCTTTAAAACCCGCTTGGATGCAGCCCTGTGCCACGTGCTCTGGGTGACCCTGCGTGAGCAGGGGGGTTGGACTCGATGACCTCTGAGGTCCCTTCCAACCTTCGGCATTCTATGATTCTATGATTCTATGATTCTATGATTCTATGATTCTATGCAAAGGTTGCATCACTCCCTGTTTCATCTCTCACTCAGTATCAAGCTGGAGGATATATCTACCCTCCAACTAGGTGGATGTGAGATTTTCTAATGCAGTGAAGTAAAAAATAAGGCTTCTTCTTATTAAGGCTTCTTTTATTATATACACCGGGTGCAGCCTGGGAATGCAAGAACATTGCGAAGCTGACAGATTTTCTTTCCTGGAGATGAGGCCTCTCAAATCTTAGAAGTCTCCCAGAGGAACTGCTGGGAACAGCTTCGTAGAAGGCTCTTTAACCTAGCTGGTTCAAGACACTGGCAGTTGCAGGGGTTCAGCACACACCTCCTCTATCACTGTCTATCCCTCTATCCCTCAAGTCCCACTGTTTGGGGCGATATCTTCAGTTCCCCACAAAATCCTCAACTGACCAGTGAAGAGATTGAGCTGACAGCCTCATGTTGTTTTTGATTAGCAAATTCTGGAATTAGAAGCCATGCTCTATGATGCCCTGCAGCAAGAAGCTGGAGCCAAAATTTCCGAACTTCTTTCAGAAGAGGAGAAAGACAAGCTGAAGAGCGCGGTAGAGCAGTGGAAGCGGCAGGTGATGAGTGAGCTCCGCGAGCGGGACGCCCAGATTCTGCGTGAAAGGATGGAGCTCGTTCAGCACGCGCAGCAGGTACGCGCTGGCGCCGACGGCCTCCGCGGGCGAGCACCGTGAGCTCCAGCATGTTCGCCATGGAGAATGGGCTGCTTGGGTGGTTTGGGGCTGCCTCGAATTAGCCCCCAAAACAGGGCATTTTGGTTTTCTTGGGTTTGTCATACAGACTGTGTCAATGCTCCACTTAGGGAGGACTCAGCCTAAAACACCATTTTGTCTAGAAACACAGTACATGCATTATTTTCAGAGATAGAAATTGTACCTTTTGTTACTTCTGTGGTACATCTATGCTTAATTAATAAAAAATCTTTATTTTAAATCTGACAGAGAATTAAAGAGCTAGAAGAAAGAATTGAAGGGCAAAAAAGACAAATAAAAGAATTAGAGGAAAAGGTAAGGTGATGCAACTGAAGCAATTGTGTATGACCATATATTCATTTCATCCTTGCTAAGAGAAGAGTGTTTCAAAACACATTGTTGTGAATACTTTTTTCCTATAATTTTTGCTCATGCTAACATTGCTTATGGTAACATTTTTGTGCATTACAATTGTTGTACATATCACGTGAATTTTCCTCAATTATGCTGTGTCCAACTAAGCAATGTCCAGAGCTCTTGTCTGAACTACATGCAGTGTTGATGCTCCCATTTGTGCCCTTCTAGGCAGCATGGGCACTGTTGCTTCCCCCCACCGAGATTTCAACACTCTTTGGTGAAAACAGCCAGCAGAGAGACAAGCAAAAAGTAACTCACGAAAAGTGGCCTTTCCAGATCTTCATTCCCAGCTTATGTTTGTTGGTGCAATGAGCTTGAGGGAAACATTTCACATTCACATTAGTTCATTTGAGAAAGAGTGGTGTAAAGCTTAAGCCAGGCTTTCCTTTTGCCATCCCTCACTAAGATCCTGAGCACAGACCTTGATGTGAAGTTTGTGGAAGCAGATGAGGGCTTGGGGGTGTCCAGCCCCCTCAGGAAGCAGGTGGCAGGCTCAGCGATGTGGGCACGCACACTGTATGGGCAAGGATTTCCAGTCGCTTTTCCTCTCCTGTCTCGAGAGGGTTTGGGTTGAACGTTCTCCCCAAACTAAACTCAACTGTCAGCAGCACTTTTCTTTTTGAACTATTGAAAGCATTCAGCTAACTTCTTTTCCTCCCAGTTTTTCCTGAGCTACTCAGGGGCCTTAGGCTGGTGTGATGGTTCAGGAGATGTGGTCCTCACCACAGGACAGATGCTGGGGGTGCGATGGGGATTGGGACATAGTCTAGCGCCCTGTAGAAGTTACTTGTCCTCCGCGCTTCTCTCAGTTTTGTTGTGCTCTGTCTGTAACCATGGCCTATATCTCACTAAACACTGTAAAATCTTACTCTCTTTCTTTTCTTCCATTTTTTCCTCTCCTCCCTTCCCTTTTCAGTTTTTATTTTTATTTTTATTTTTCTCTTTAGCTTTCATTCTCTGGTCATAGTTCAGCAGGCTCCATGCAAAAGGTAAGCACTTGGGAGCTCTCCAGTGTCTGCTCCGTGGCGAGCAGAGCATCGCTGCTGCTGCCCGGGATCTGTGGAGTCACCTGGCATCCCAGATCTCCCCAGAATGGAAACCCATGAGGCTTTTGGAAGACCTTGGGTTTGGACACTAGCAGCACCACCACGTGACAGTTACAACTATGTACTTTCTGCGTCTTCTGAAAATTGGAGACGCAACATCTCCTTGACATTGGGGGGAACCTTGTTTTTTTCTGTTTGTTTGGTGGCAAGTTGAGTAACAGCAGATAAAAATCTGGCAGCTCCAGAGAGGGCAGGTTAGGGCATCGCTACCATCTTGTGGGAGTCACTGAGAGGAAGAATTCCCATTTGTATATGAAGACACAAATGCTTTCATATGAATTGTATAATTCAAATATATATAAATAGCCCTTACAGAAATGTAATGTTATTTTTAACTGTGTATACTTTTCTTTGATCCATGTTTTTATATATTTCCTTGTTTCAGCCTTCTGAGGAAGCTAGAAATGCTCATACTGTTATTAACAGGAAGACAGCGTTGGTTACCAAGCTCGAAAAAAAGACATTACAATTTCAGAAAGCCCCAATATATCTTGTATTTTGCCACTGAAGATGGCAGAGCTGTTAGATCTTTACAGCCCCGTGAGAGTGAAGATAAATTAAGATGTCTGGAAGTGTCTTAGCACGTGGAATCCGCGCGACAGAAATCCCTGACTCTGCATTTCTGACTAACCTGATGAGGAGAAAGCCAAAATCCCCTTCCCTCTCTTCTTAACAGTTAGAGACTTCTTCCAAGGAAGCCTTATCTCTGCTGCTTGAAATCACTTTCAGCTTTACATAGAAAGCAGAATACTAATTCAGATAAACTGAATATGTTTTCGTTCCCTGCTAAGCAGGCAGTAAATTGCTTCTGTGTAGAAGTGAACACGTCCTGTTTTATATGTCACTCATTTATATTTGTTATTCATAGCTATTTAAGAATCTATCTTGAAAGATTTAAAAATGAGCTCTTGAGTGGTAACTTATGAAAACATAAATGTGAGTGAAAACAAAGTGTTTTGGTCTTTGGAAATACTTTGAAAAAGTATTTTGCAAACAGTTCAAATAAGGAGGAGAACTAAATCTGTTGTGGATAGTTTCAGAAGAATGTGTTTGATCTGAAAAACAGAGGCCACAACTCGTGGTTTGTGGAATATCCCGCACAGCCAGTGTGGGGGAAAAAAAACGAAGCCATGTCTGAACCCTTTGGGAAACAAGATGGTGGTTTTTTTTTTGAGGTTTCATAAGACCGTGCCCTACAGCACTTTGAGAAAGATAGCACAATAATTTATAATTTCCTGTTCCGGAATGATGGCAAAGACTTATCATTTTCCCACGGAAAATTCAGCTGAGAGAAAAATGGAGCTAAAAGCGAGTATTGTCCCTGCTGTGAAAGGCTTGAATCGTGGAAGCAGGGAAGCACCAACTCTGCAGAGGACAGTTCTCCAAAGGCGGGAAAGAAAAATGAATCCTCTGGAACAAATGGAGGAGGAAAGAACTGGAAATAAATGACGTTGAATGACATTCACCAAAAGGCAACTGAAGCCAAGTGCACACATCTGGATTTAGCAGAGATTAATTAAGACAACATCACATCTGGAATTTTCCATGCTTAGGGTGGTTCTAAAACATCCAGAGGGACCAAATGGTGACGAGGAAACTATGTCTGTTGGAAATACAAGACAGGAAGTGAAACCAAAGAATTACTGAAAGGTAAGGAGGATTGATTAACATAAAGCTGATTCATTTTATAGTTATATATATTATATCACTGATTCCTAATTACATCACTAGGAGTCAGTCTTGCTCAGATCAAAATATTTAATATAGTGATGGGAGTGAATTTTTATCTGAACAGCTTGTTTATGTAAAAATTATTTATCTGCATTTTACTTTAATCTGTCATTTAGGTATTGTGTTTCTATATGATGTAGAGCAAGTGCTAATTTTATTTTTTAGATCCATGGTCACTCACAAATATTATTAATTGGATAATGAAATACACATCAAATTTGTATGAATAGCAAACAGTCGTAGGACTTCTAAAGATACATATCTCAAATACAATAGAAGAAAATAATTGTTTTGCTTGAGAATTAAAAAACATAATACTTTCCTGAATAATATTTATTTTTCTTAATACATTCACTTACCTTTTATAGGTAGCTGAGTAGAAACCCATGGGATAGTTGAGGTCAGTTTGTCATGCTCAGAGAGACCAGTGCTTCCTCGACTCCTTTCTCCCTCCCTAAAAGATGAAAAATATTGAAATCTTCGAAAAACAATGATATAAAGTAGAATTCCCACCTTGCAGTCAGATTGGTACCAGTAATCAGAGCAATCACAGTCCAAGCAGGACTGCTTGGAGCCAGTTCTGCCTGGGGCTCCCCATCACTTATCAGTGGTTCAACTTTTCCTAGCAACCTAAAGGATCTAATTTTCAGCTTGGAAGGAGAAATTGTCTTTTTTTGTACTTCATCACATCAGTTTTCTTCTCATTTTCTTTCCAGTACATTTTCTAAACTGAATGTCTATTCAAATCTTAATTTTAACATCTGTCAGATCTTAACATGTGTCAAAATCTTAACACGTTTGAACGCAGGTTGTTGATTTGCTGCTCTAAGATCACTGCTTTGGAGATTAAACCACCACGACTTCCGCATGCAGAGAGATCCATGCAAGAAGTATTGGAAATTATTTGTCCTAAGTGGTATTTGCTGGAAATAGCCTGGGCTTAGTGCTGTTTGCGGTGATGCATGCTGTGCTTAAGAGCTTGACCTGTGCATCTGCATCTGACTACATCCGTCTTCAAACAGGGTTCTCCACCAGCTCAAACCCTGTGTTCCTGCCAGAAACGCCCTGCTATAATTTAATTGGGATTTGACTGAGATCAGTGAGTGACCATGGGGAGCTTTTCTTAGAAAGAGCAGATTTACAAAGCAACACCCCCAGGAGAGGCTTGGCCAGTCCGCACTAACACACACCATTGACCAGCCTGGTTCAAGGTGCATGCATGTGCCCTGGTTATAAATGCGTGCCTCATTTCCGAAGCCTGTTGGATTTGCAATAGTTATGAGCAAAACCACATTGTGTTATGATTAGAGGTGCCTGGGAATGTCTGTTGAAATGGCTTTTCAGCAGAAAGCTAGATTTTGGCTCAGTGTTTTTTAAGATGAGTGTTGCCTCCCTTAAATCAAAGCCCAGGGAGCAGTTTGGAGCTCGCAGTGGGACTGTGCTCCTGCTCGCCCGGGGATGCAGGGAGCAGCGAGGGGCAGTCCCAGCAGAAGGAGCTTGGAGCCCACGAGCCCTTTTTGCAAGGGGCAGGATGCAGGTCCTGCCCATACCCCATTCCCCAATGCTGGATGTGGAAGGAGCCATTTGGGAGCTTTGGTGAGGGGACAGCTGATTTCTGCCTTCAGTTCTGGCTTCTCCTAATCTGTGATGGCTTAATGTCTCAGTGACCTTTAACAAGATTCTGCTGGAGGCGCCTGTGCCATGTGCCTAGGCAGAGAGAAAGGTGCAGCTTCAGATCTTCTGCAAAGGCCAAGGCACCGTGTACGTACGCGAGTGTCGGACACCCGTGCCTAGAGCCCCTGTTTCCTGCGTTTTGTGTTTTCTTGAGCCGCCTTGGCTCCCGGTGCAGGTTTGAGGTGCTCCTTGCGGCAGTGCCGTGCTGGCAGCCCCACGGACACACGGACACAGGCACTAGGGATTTAGCTGATGTTTTAAATCCTAGATTTCCTGTCACTGTTCTGTTCCGTAACGCCAGGGGCAGTGGCGAGCATGGTCTATGCGAAATGCAATGCTTTACCTCCTGTTATGTCCCGAACGGGCATTTCCGTGCGAGCCGAGCGCTCCCGCCTGCCCGCGGAGCCGCAAGGGGCGCGGGGGCCACGGGCAGCGAGGAGAGCACGGGCAGCGCGGGGGTCACGGGCAGCGCGGGGGTCATGGGCAGCGCGGGGGGCACGGGCACCGAGCAGGGGTCATGGGCACCAAGCGGGGGTCACGGGCAGCGCKGGGGGCACGGGCACCGAGCAGGGGTCACGGGCACCAAGCGGGGGTCACGGGCAGCGCTGGGGGCACGGGCACCGAGCAGGGGTCACGGGCACCAAGCGGGGGTCACGGGCAGCGCTGGGGGCACGGGCACCGAGCAGGGGTCACGGGCACCAAGCGGGGGTCACGGGCAGCGCGGGGGGCACGGGCACCGAGCAGGGGTCACAGGCAGCATGGGGGGCATGGGCAGCGCGGGGGCTGCGGGCACCGAGCAGGGCAGCGCGGGAGGAGCTGCTGCCGAGCAGGCAGCACCGTCCGCGCGCACAGGGAAGCTGCAGCCCGGGGCGCACATCGCGGCCCTGCCTGTGCCGAACACGTGTTGTCAAAAAATTAGCACATTTGTCACTAGAATAAACATGTTTTTCTCAGCAGTAGCTTTTAGATCTACAGAAGGCATGAGAATCCCCCAAACTGTAAGCGTTTCCAATGATTTTGGTAGGCTTAATGATAAATTGAATATGACTTTTTAAAACTCTCTTAAATATTTGTTTATTCAATATAAATATGAATTGTAAAAATAAATAGCACCATAAGAGAAATCTACTTAGAAATGTTACATTACTGTTCTGTCATAAAAAACAGCTATCTTTTTTCTATATTTCAGGCATAAATCCAGAATCTGCTGAAATAACCTTTAGCTGACAAGTAAAGTAATTAATAAGTACTTAAATAAGCAAGAAGGGTTCAAATGTAACATCATTTCCTGCAACCAGGTCTGCTTAGGAGGAGCATTCCCGGGGCTCGCACTTCTCCATGGTCTCAGTGCATGGTTTTCTAGCAGAAATTGTGTTTACAAAGGCTTGCAGAGAGGGTGGCCACCAATTCCCTTTTGCTTACTACCAATAGTTATTTGTCTAAGAAAATTGGTCTCAAGCTCAGGATGGGCTTTAGGATTTGCATTTTCACCTAATATCCATCATGTGCAGATGTTTGCACACACATAAATGAGGAGATTCAGGACTGGTCTTTGCGAAGTCCACGTATGCGGTGCTTGAGAGAGAGAAGTTGCTGCCCATTGCTATCCCGCTGCAGCTTTTCCAAATAAACTGCATTTAATAAATGGATTAGAGGTGCTGCCCTATGTTAAATTACATGGACAATTGATGCAGAAAACCAGGGGAGGTCCTGTGCCACCCTGCAATGAGACAGTTCACTCCAGAGGAGGGTCACGTCTGCACAGTGAGACACGTCAGCTTGTGTCTGCAAGGGCTTCCAGCTGGTAGTAGAGATTATTGATTAAATTAACACATGGATCGATATAATATTAAAATATTAAGCATATTTACATTGCAATAAGATTATTGTGCCTCCTATCACACTAGTGCTGAATGTCTCCGTATGAGCCTCTGCTTTTTGTAGCTTATTTCTCCTTAGATCACTTTAGCACTCTTTCTTTTTTTTAATGCATTTGCTTTAATTTTGAGAAACGCTTTTTTGCGAGGTCAGAAGCAGAGAGGATCTGTAGAGGATATTATCAGCTATTTGCACATAATGCTTGCATGGCTGCCCTGCAAGATGCATCTTGCATCTACATTTCCGTGCATTTCAAAGGCTTGTGTTGTAGAGGTGCAAAGAAGAGGGTAATGACCTACTTTATTAGAATATTAATTGATGAGTCTTTGTTGTACCATACATCCAAAACAGCCCCAAAATCTTTGTTCAGTATGAACTGCTTATGGGAAATTCAAGCCTTCGAGCAGCCTTCACTTTACGAAATGGGATTAATGGGAAGCTAAAGTGAGTGATTCAAGGCCTGTTCATTTATATTACGGCTTGATTCCTCTGTAGCTGTCTTGGTCCCAGTAAAGAGTAGACAGTGGTTCAGTGGTGTGCAGAGATTCCCTGCAGATTAATCATCAGCAATGTCTAGCAAACCATGGCATGTCTTATTGCATAGAATTTCTGCTGTAAGGTTTCAGCCATTGATAAGAAGTGAAATGCATGGAGATGACAACGTCAGTGTGAATTGCCAGTGCGCGCAGACGAGGGTGGCCGCGGCGCTGGCCGCGGGGCGCCCTGCGAGGCCGCGGGGCTCGGCCGAGGAGCTGCTGCTGCTCGCCAGTGCTCCCCGCCCGGCAGGACGCGCAGCTGCTGGGAGCCTCCCGCCACCCCAGCGCGTCTGAGCTGCCTCTCGGAGCAAAAGGACATAGATAAAACTAGATCATTAAGCAGCGTTCTTGATTCTAAATCAAGGTCTCCTGGTTGCAAAAGGAAGGCAGTTAAAATGCTAAGCAGCCGCTATTAACATTTCTTTCCTGAAGCATTTGCTCCCCAAATGATGAAGCGCCGGGAATTAACCCTGGTGGCTCCGTGCAGGCATCTCGCGACGACTTGCTCTGAAGGCAGCTTGCAGCGAGATAGATCAAGTAGACATGTGGAAGGACTCGCCATGGCTCTCTGGCAGCTCTGCTTTTATGGTGGTTAAAGAAATATCAAATTCCAGAGTCCCAAGCACGAACAGATAATGCTGGGCAGAGTGCCCGGGGGAGGCTGCTGTGCAGGTGGATGCAGAGGGCCGGTGCGGATGTGTGGATGTCCGTGCAGCACTGGGAAGAACCCTGGGAGCTCCGTTCAAGGGGAGCGAGGGTCACGCGAGGGGCTCGTGCTCACAGCTCTGCCCAGCTGAGCTGAAGAATTGTTGACCTTTTTCTAATCTAAGA